GGCGGAGGCGGAGGAGAATTGGCGGCGGTGGAGGAGGAAAGAGAGAGGAGATGGCGGGGGGAGGCGGACGGGAGGTGGGCGGAGACCGAGGCGAGGTGAGTGGAGTCGGAGGGGAGGTGGGCGGAGGTGGGCGAAGGCGGGCAGAGGTGTGTGGAGACGAACGGGAAGTGGGTGGAGGCCGGGCCGAGGTGGGCGGAGGCCGGGGCCGGAGGTGGTGGCGCATGCCGCGGGCTCTCTCTCTCTCTCACACACACACACACACACACACACACACACACACACACACACAGAGAGAGAGGGGATAGGGAGGCGGAGGCCGAGAGGAGTTGGTGGGACAGATGGCGGGGGGAGATGGTGGGACGAGCCGGACGGAAGGTGGCAGAGGCGGAGAAGTGGCGGAGGTGGGGGAGTAAAGAGAGAGAGTAGATGGTGGGGGGAGGCGGAGGGGAGGTGGGCGGAAATGGAGTCACCTCGGAGGGGCCTTCAAGCACAGCCTTGCAACACAGCACACACGAAGTCACGGACCCTTGGACTCTAGCGAGGGAGCGAAGTCCTGGGCCGTTTGACGTCCAGCGATCTTAAGACTTTAAGATCGCACAACGATCAAGGCCGTCCACCCTGCCAGACGGCCTGGATCATCGTACAATTTTAAAGTCTTAAAGTCTTAAGATCGTGCGGAAATCCAGATCGTCGGGTCGGTAGGACCGTGGGCGGCCCGGATCGGCCAATTCTCATGTTGACGATTTCTATAAGTGTACAGATAAACAACAGATCATGATCTCAAACTTCAAATCCTTGTTCTTGAAAACTATTGTCATTACCCGCTTCCTTCAGCTGCACAGAGAGTCCCAGTTTTCACTTTCCTGTGCGACGCGCAGTCTGCACTGGATGTCCCATGCAAACAGCTTCACCATGCATTTTGCTTCTTGCTAACAAACAACAAGTCCAAGATAAACTCAAAAGGAGGAATAGAACCTGTGACCGGCCGCAAAAGAGTTGGGGATCACTTGCCTAACCACCAACAGGTAAACTGAGCTCGGGTGAATGTGAACATGAAGCTAGGGTAAAAGGCAATCCCGACCCCTCGCCCCCTCCTGGTGGACATTTCAAGGGTTCGAACTCTGTGATAATACGAAGGCTGTAGGCATTAATACCAAAGGTTCAAAACTTCAAACTTGTATTCTAAGGGGGCTTACTCAGCGTCTCCTCGGCATTTACCTCACTGTCCCTGTACTTGATCAGCACTGCCTTTGAAGATGGGAACCGCTTTCTCACAACATCTCTCAACTCCCCAAACCTGATGCACAGACAGGTTGACAATACAAATTGGTTGTCATGGATCAGATACCCAACGACTGCTAAATCAGATACAGGAGGCTCATATTGTGTCTCCATGCATGAGAGACTCCGAACGGCAAACAAGGAAGGACGTTTTCGACCCATTTTTACTCATCGCACAAGAGTACAAACAATGCACCTGTCACAACTGGTTCGACACACAGGACTGCGCACAAGTGCGGCCGCATTAGTGCTCACTGACTTTTGCTTGCTCGAGTTGTGAGCCTGTCCCAGTCAGCGGTCACTATACTTGGCTGCAGTCCTCTGTGTCCTGTGTGGAGCTATAGCACACTGGCTGTCAATTCGCTAAGCCTGCTCAGCCCTTGTGCGGCTGCATGGACGAAATCCCCAGAGCAAGGTTGCTATGCTACCCAACCACTCCCATAGTGGTCGGCCAAGACACCACACTTTGGGCATATTCGCACTAGAAGAGACTTCCCTCTACACACTTCTAATGGCTAGCTTCTGCTCAGACGATGCTCCTGGTGTGAGAAAACCATTATTCTATCAATTTGTTTTTCTTGGAGATATTGAAGTTGCAGAGCTCATCTTGCGGGGAAACAGGCAATTCACCAGTGTCATTTTCATTTCAACCCTTGGAATCCATCCAGTCAATTCACCCCCCCCCCCCCCCCCCCCCCCCCCCCCCCCCCCCCCCTACGACATTTTCAAATATGTACATAGTTTTATATCTACCGCAGACTACCGGTAGAATGCCCCACCCAGTTTCTACCATCTGGTATTTCTGATGTGTTCTTCTGACTTTTCATCGTCCCCCATGGTAGGACATATCATCATAGAGAACTGCCCGGTGAGTGGTAGGCAGGAAGGGAGCCTACCAACCATAAGAACAGTACTGACAACACCCGCTGATACTGAGATGATTGCATGAGAGGTTAGCATGTTCGAACCTGCTGGACAAGCCAGTTTACGTCGGGGCAACTGCAATTTATGCTTTGCAATCTTTTCTAAGGACTATATGCTCGATTCTGATATTGATAGGACAACACCCTTTGGATTGACAGCTCTTTGTCTCCATGCACCACATCATCGACAGCTCTTTGCCTCCATGCACCACATCATCTTGCACACCCACCACAATACGAGATGATCGAACAGTGAGAAAGCTTGGCCTGCTCTGGGCAACTGAATTGGCTTACTTTCATCTGTCCCCCACTACAATTCATGCCTTGCTAACCTTTTCAGCATGCTATAGCATCTGATATACCTCCTCCCCTGCAATTCATGATTTTCTATCCTTTGCAGGATGCTATAGCCTATGCTAAAGAGTCTGAAATTGACAAAACAACCCCACGGGAATTTTGATGTGCCACCTCGTCATCTTGCAATGAACACACGGAGAATCTAGTTGAACAACAAAAAATAGCAAATAGTTGAGATGCGTGTTTGTACGCAAGACCTACCCAACGTCCTTTGTTTTCGCAAGAGAGAGTGAGTGAGTGAGTGAGAGAGAGAGAGAGAGGGAGGGAGGGAGGGAGAGAGAGAGAGAGAGAGAGAGAGAGAGAGAGAGAGAGTTGGTACATGCTGCTAAGCAAGACTTGTTGAAAATGTCCTTTGGATATGTTATGTGCCTGATTGAATTACAATCCACAGCGAATTCACGCACCCCCATACATGCATGCAATGCAAAGTAGACTTGAGAGGGGAGAAATCCACACAAATCCGGAAACTGCTGCGCAACGGAAGCCCACAATATGCACATTAAAATTGATAAAATTGAATTACGAATTTCAATTTTAATTCCCCTTCCACCTCCAATCAATCACCGCTCATCTTTCCAAGAATCTCAACCACGACTTCACTTACACCCCCGTTCAGTTCCCCAACAGCAATCGACGAATTTTCATGGAGCCTTCAACTCCCTCCTTCCACCTCCAAACCCCGGGTATGGTACTCCACTATCATGGGGCCCAGACCCCGCAAGTCCGCAGGTCACAGGCGCTGATCTGGCGCCTTCAGATGACACAATCCACAGCACCTGCCCTCTAGCAGAGCCCGTAGCTCCCATGGAGAAGAAGACCAACATTAGATGAAGAAGAACATAAATCCCTCTGCACGATGAAGAAGGTGGATATGGCTGCCTTCGAAGTTACTGAAGATGGCAGCACCTCCAACCTTCAAACAGCACCTCACCACGAGGAGGAGACCAGCACCAGGGGGAGAAAGTCACCCTGCGCTGGCTTCAGGAGCGGGGCAACCCCAGCTATGGGCGCCCGCCAATCTCATGAAGCAGGAGCACCTGCGCTGGAAATAGCGCTGCTCGTTTCCTTCCCGTCCAACCAGCCGAATGAGAAAAGAACCCAAAACTAGTCGGGCCCAGCCTACTTCAGCCCCGGCTCTCCTAGACCTAAGACGGACAAAACAGCAACTCCTATCTGGTCGTCCAAAGCAATCCGCTACAGCCCAACAGTCAAGATCTACCTGCACATATCTAGACCAGAAACTGGCAACGGGAATCTAGTCCAAGAAAAGGCCTACGGACCTACCAATTTCTAGAAGAGCAGAAAAGGACAAAACAACAAAGGGTGAGAGGCCTAAGATTGCTAGATAGAGACTACAAGCGACAGATCTAAGGGTCAAGCCCAAAAGGGCTCAAACCCAACAAACAACACACACAAACTACAGGTCATGGGATCAAGTCCCGCAAGGCTCAAAACAAAGAAATAAGAAACACAACCACACCCAGTTAGTGTACAACCCGCCTGAAACCTCCAATTCATTGCAAATAGACGGAGGAATTTCAGTGCAGCACCTCATCTTGCAGTCCACACCAGAATCTCATTGAGCCAAAAATAGCAAATAGCTGAGGACAACAGCAGCAACTAGTTTTGAGGATGGCGAAACTAGCACAAACATAAATAATTGATACTGGCGCATATGTAAGCGAGGAGACTTACCCAGCGTTGACCGGCATCTCTGCAAGTCGTATGTCATGGCCATAGTACAATTTCAGTGGAACCGTTCCGCGCGCGGCCTTGTCTTTGGCTCGCTTTCCATTGCTTGCTGCCTCCGTGCCCGTAGCCTTTGATACATCGGCACGGGTAGCAGGCTGACTCTGACTGGAAGGTACCACCCTCCTCCCATTACTCCCTTCCAAAGCTGCTCCCAGACAGTCTGACGAGCCACAATTGTTTGCATTGGCTACTGCCGGCCCGTTTGCAAGGCGCGTCTCCGGCCCTGGGTTTGCCCTCGCAGCGGCCGCTCCTGCTCCTCCCGCTTTCACTGTAGCAGCTGCGGGCACATTTCCTCCTCCTGCCTTCAACCCGCCTTTGCTGGTATTCGACGCTGGCCTTGGTGGCAACGAGGGTCCGCGCATGCTCTCGCTGGGAACGGCACCACTTTGGTTTCCGGCCCTCATCCTGGTGACCATGCTGCTCTTCACTCCCAGCTCGTTTCCATTTGCCATGGCCGTTTCTTCGACAACTGCAGCAGTAGACGTGGCTGCAGCATCCGCAGTCTGGTTGCGTATCATCCTCGCTTCGACAGCTGATCTCAGCCGTCGATCAAGCTCCACTGCAGTTTCATTGGCTGGCTCATTCTGCACTTGCATACCGAACAATCAGGTTTCCGCTATGGTCAGACACACCATCGAAGGGGTGGGACAGAACTTCCGAACCACAAACCTCTAGGAAAAAAAAAAAAAAAAAAAAAAAAAAAAAAAAAAAAAAAAAAAAAACAAAAAAAAAACGATGCAAGCATGACAAATAGGTTAATAATAGTCTTAATTAATGCATAAATAACTCTGCCAGATAAATCCAATTCATTAAGAATGATCAGTTTCTCAGATGTGAAAAGAAGAAAATTTCAATCTCACGAAACTTTCTCATCATACCCAGCCCTGGCACTGAATGTTACAACACAAACTTACAGCTGTTCACAATCATCACATCATGAGCTCAAATCCTGATACACCTGACCCAAAAGAACCGGAAGGTTGGAGGCCTTGCAACCCTTGCATTTGCTTTCCTTTTCTGGTTCAATTCTGTATGTTCTATGCCCATTGGTCCCGGCATAATAAGAACTCCCTTATTATTAAAAATGTAAAAAAAAAAATGTTCCTTATTAGGAAAAAAAAAAGTAAGAAGTGTTTTCCCCATCTTAAATCAGACACCAGCTTGCAAGCACCACATCCTTTCCTGTTCTTTCCTTGTCCATAAATTGGACCATTTCTCAAGAAAATCTGTGTTGCCCTCGTGGAGGGGCCATCATGCTAATCTTCTAGTGCCATTCTAACTTATCTTAACAGACATTTCTCCCGCAACAGGGCCAAACCTCACACCCAATTCCCCCCTACCCTCCCTACGAGTCTACGACGACCAGTCCCCTACCCCTACCATGATGACTCTCTCCCCACCGCTACCATATGAGTGTCCCAATCAGAACAGATGGGGAGAACGGCTCAGACAGTGAAATGCTCTCTCCTTCACTAGAGAGCTCGCACTCTGGAAATGGCAGTGTGCAAGCAAACCAATTCAGGGCAAGCAAAGGCTGTATGGGCCAAGCAAGGCAGGCTGCGAACAGATAAAACAAAAGTTGACCACAGAGAGGGAGAGAGGAGGGGTGGGAGGAAGGGGTACAGGGAGCGAAGAAACAAGAGAACAAGGACACCAGTGCATACACAATCCACAACCAGGCACGACCACACACATGAGGGAGAGAGGCGGGAGGGGGGGGGGGGGGGGGGGGGGGGGGGGGGGGGGAGGAGGGAGAAAGAGAGAGAGCATGAGTAAAGTGAAGGCAGAGGACGCGAGTGCTTTGGAAAACATACCTGAAGAACCAGCTTGACGTCAGCCAGTGCAAGAGCTATGCGTCCTTTCGCTTCGTACGCTTTTGCACGTCGCATGAGGGCCCTTGGGAAACGTGGAGACACATTCAGCGCCAGAGTGCATTCACGAATCACCTCATCATACTGTGCGGGCTTCATCTCCATGAGGCATGCGGCACGATTGCTGAAAGTTAAAAGGAACCAGAGGTGAGAGCACAAGTGCCACGTCAGTCTGTCTCGATATTTTTAACCACATGCGATCTCATGTGGATAGAAGTTTCTCCTATCCAGTTTCGATCCACATCAGCAAGTGTTCATCCAACACAAACGGCAAAGCAACAGCCAGCTTAGCCTCCCCCTTCACCCCGCTTCGGGAAAAAAAAAAAAACAAGGCAGAGCAAAGCAAGGTATCTTCTAAAAGAAGTGTCTTCTGTCTAGAATAAGGATTGAGACAGCGTAAACGCGTAACTACGAAAACAATGGGGATAAAATCATAAAAAAGCATTGGGAGTCAGAACTGCATATTCGGTTGATCAGGAATTGGGAGGGCAATCGGGTGGAATATAATAAAGTTATGAAGTTGTGGGGTGGAATATACTAAGTTATGCAGTTGCAGTTGTAAACGTAAACAAAATGGAGACGGGAGAAACGAGAAACAAGAAGAAGCCAGCTTTCCCTTCACCGGAAAGCAATTTCGGTGTAGGTATTCTCTAAACACATCAGTGTTCTGTTGGTTTAGTTTTGACCACGAAGCTTTGCAGCACCGAGCGTTGAGCGGTATAGAATCTGATGTACCCCCCGTGCGTACACAAGGAGATTGTTATGATCGTTATTGTGTCCGCATTGAAGAAATGCGACAAAGTCTTTGAATCATTGTCCAATGCTTGAATCAAATGCCTAGCGGCATGATCAAAGCGGTTGATTGTAAACTTTGTCCTCCTTCACGCTATCAAATCAAACAATCCATGGAATCGTCACCATATAAAACTATGTGCAGCTACCACCGCCCCCCCAAAACCCACACCCCCTCCTCAGCCGATTGTGATAAAGGTGATGGATGGTGCAGTGATACAATTCCTCATAATAAAAAAAAGATTAATTTTTTTAAATGAAAAAAATGGAAAACAAATTAGAAAACAGAATGGATTCACTGCCTCGTAAACAAAAGGCAACCGTTTTATAATGATTCATGGGCAGCTGCGCAGCGGCCCGGGCGGGCAAGGGTACTAGGCAGCCCCAGCGCAAAAGGAAAAAAAAATGAAAAGTCAAAAAAATCATAATTATGGAAAACAAAATCAGCTGGAGAATTGAAATGCAAACAACTTTGGGTTGACGGTGGCCTCAGATTTCCTTACTGAATTCAGGATACAAAGAAAACTTGAAAATCAAGCAACTAGGGCACCCCTTAAGATTCCTTTGAGCCCCATTTGTACGGCCGTCCCACTTCCCGACGGACAACACGGAAAAGCAAAAAGAGCTCGGATTTAGACTGCTTTTGGTGGGTACGGAAAAGCCCCTCTGATGAAATGGGAAGAAAGAAACCGTTCCCGGAGTTTTTTCATGCCTGGGGCGCCCCCGGTAAACTAAAATGGAAAGAAAGAACTGGGTTATTTCTCCGTGCACACGGGCTGGGCACACCCGCGCGGAAGGCTGCCCAGCTGCCCGTAAGTGGGTCACCCAGTAAGGGCCCAGGCAGCCTCAGTATCCAGGTTGCAGCACGCATTTTCCCACCCGATACGCAGCCCGATGGTTCCAGGTGACACCCGGCGCCCTCAAAAAGAATGATGATGATGACAATAATGATCCTGATGATGAGGAGGAGGAGGAGGATGGCGATCACTCCAACATGCAGTCCTGCCTCAGGGTGAAATTTTGAAAATGGAGAAAAAAACGGAAAAAAGCTAGGCCACCAGGCCTGCAGGGTTGTGCAGGCCGGGCACCGGTTGCCTGCATTGGGTACCCCGGCGACATAGAAACTCCAGGAATTTTTTTGGTTGTTTTTCCCACTGGTGGGGCTTTTCTGTGCCCACCGAAAGCACCACAAATTCGGGCTCTTTTTGCTTTTGAGTGTTGTCTGTTGGGGGCAGAGAAGGGGGTATAAATGGGGCTTAAGGGGGTTTAAAGGGGGGTGCCCTAGTCTGATTCTTTTTTATTCTGTGTCTTTATCTCCGATTCTCTAAGGAACTCTTGGGTGACCCTCTGCACAAAGTCGTTTGCAATACAATTCCACAGAGACTGCTGATGTTCATAGGTGGAGGGGACCGGAGGGGAGGCACAGCGACTGGCCCATCGAAGGAAAAACTCGGTCCTGATGCCACCGGCTCACCCCTGGCCGGTATCGCTCACCTGCCTGCTGTAGCAGGTGTCGCACCTGCTGGTGCATGTTCCCTCGTTGAAGGGTTGAGCACGGACGTGGCTGCTATGGGGTTCCCCGTAATACTATACTGACAATAAAACAAAGGCCTGAAAGGCCGTCCTGTCCAGAATCGACAGGTAATTGAATTGGTTAGACTTGAAAGAATTAGCCTTTTCGCCCAAAAAAAAAAGCAAAAAAAAAACAAAATGGAAACAGTGAAACGAAAATGCAAAAATCCTTTTACATTGAAAAATGGAAAGAGGACACCAGCAGCAGCAATATTCAATAAGCGGCTCCACGAATACCCCACATGGAATGCATTCAAGTTATTACGTGTTGGCTGAGTGGTACGCAGCCCAGCCACAAATGCTGATCAACAGGTCAAGAGTTCCAATCCTTATGCATACATTAATTAAAGGGGGGGAAATGTCTGCTCACCTCTTCCTGCCCCTTCTCCCCCTCCTCCCGGCAGACACATACACCACAAAACGAGCGAGCAAGAGAGAGAGAGAGAGAGAGAGAGAGAGAGAGAGAGAGAGAGAGAGAGAGAGAGAGAGAGAGAGAGAGAGAGAGAGAGAAGCAACATGAAGAAACAAGGAAAGAGTGCATTACAGATGTGCTACACACCTGTGAAAAACAGCGCGGTCTGCATGGCCTTCAGGGATAAGATCTATTCCCCGCTGATAAAACTGCAGGGCTTTGGCGAACTCCTTGGACTGAAAACACTTATTGCCCTCCTCCTTCAGCTGATGAGCTTCCTTCAAAACAGTCTGTCATCAAAAAGGAAAAATCAACAAAAAAAAGAGGAAGGAAAACAACATAAGGCAGTCTGAATAAAGCAAACTTGAACAGGAGCTGTAAATTGCCTGCGCCTCTCTCTCTCTCTCTCTCTCCGTGTGTGTGTGTGTGTGTGTGTGTGTGTCGCTGTATCGTAGACAGCGGATCAAGATGATGAACACATGCTCAACCGCATTTACCTGATTCATACAAAGAATAAAAGAAAGAAAAGTGATCGAGTAGAATAAGATTAGTAATTATAGATAGAGGAGAGAAAAGGAATGTCAAGAATATCCACCACGACTCCTAACCAAGCACAGTTCTTCTTTGAGTAGAGCAGTCAAAGGATACCCCGCATAGAATTTTCAAAAGATAGAAGGGACAAGCAGACAACCATTTAAAAAAAAAACTAAAAAGGACATCATTTGCTACAATAATAATAATAAGAGAAACGTAAGACATACTACTACTACTACTACTACTACTACTACTACTACTACTACTACTACTTTCTTGCCTTTTCCTTTTTTTTGTAACAGTCCCCCCTCTTCATTCCTTTTCCACTTTTGTAGCAGTAACTTTTTTCTTTCCATTCCCCTTTTTCCCTCGTTGGAACACTACTTAAGAATTCTTTTCACTACAAATTGAAATTGATGCAAAAAACTTTTCTGTCCTCTTTCGTTGAACTTACAAAATAATGCAAAACAAAAGCACATCAACACACACACACCAAGGCTTCCGACAAAGCTCTGGCCTCTCCAGCGCATTTTCGTCCCTTCTTTTTCTTTTTTCTTTTTCTTTTGCACCTCTAAATTTCACCCTCCTGCCGCGCAATCACATTAGCATACTATACATGCGTGCAGCCTGCTCTTAACGTTTTCTTCAAGCCATCCAAATTATCATCATCATCATCATTCATCATCATCATCATCACCGTTCATCATTATCATTATCATCTAAAATCTCATCACCGCCATCATCTAAATCATTATCACGACTCATCCCAACTCTTTGGAGCTGTCAAGGTTTCATCAGCATAGAACAAATTTCAAAGCCAAATGTCATTAAAACTTGGTGGGAGGGGGCAATGATGATGATAATGATAGTAAAGTCGAAAGTATGCACAGTGAACCAAACGTCG